GGGAAATTTTTTTTTTTTTTTTTTTTTTTTTTTTAGCAATGCCATGGTTCGGTATGGACATTGGTGGCACACTTTGTAAATTAGTATACTTCGAGCCTAAGTACATAACAAAAGACGAGGCAGACGCCGAGGTTGAAACGTTAAAGAATATTCGTCAATATTTGACCAAGAACTCAGCGTATGGCAAAACTGGTCATCGCGATGCACATCTACAGGTAAACGAATTCTATATAAAACTTATTTGTTCATTTTTAGAGTAAAATTAGCGAGTGATGTACGATAATATTTTACGACTTATTAACACCAATGACGACGATATAAAATCATCACTTAACGTTTAATAAAAGATATTAAGTATGATTTTATAAAACATTTCCTTGACGTTTTGATTTCCTTGAGTATCAATACTTGATTTTAAAAAGAAAAATTTCAACGGTCGCTTTGTCATACTATTTTGACGCTGCAAAGAAAATAAAAATAAGAAAAACAATTGTCAAAATATCAAGGAAGTCGTCTGACGGCAAACGATAAACAGTAGACTCGCGGTTTTTTTTTTATGGCAATTCGAGCCGCAGATAACTAATGACGTTTTGAGATTTGATTTGGAAAAAGAAAAAGAAAAACATCCGATGTCGTAGATGGATGACGTTTGCATCAGGGGTAGATGGGGTACGCTGCACTTTATCCGTTTCCCGACAAGCGAGATGGGCAACTTCCTCGCTCTCGCCAAGTCCAAGGGCATGGCAAATCTCGTGACGACGGTGTGCGCCACGGGAGGTGGCGCCTACAAGTTCGAGGATAACTTCAAGAAGGAGGTGAACCTCAGCTTGGCCAAGTTCGACGAGCTCGACAGCCTTATCCGAGGCATGCTGTACATCGAGATGACGAATCCCTGCGAGTGCTACTACTGGGCCAATCCGACCGACGATGAGAAATGCCTGAAGGTGCCCTATGACTTCTCGAAACCCTATCCGTTCTTGGTGAGTGCTGCCTTTATTTTCTTACTTGCGGATTTTTGGAGCAGTTTTTTTTTTCATTCGATACATTACTATTGAATGAGGTACTACAGATTGTGTAGTATGTCAAGTAGCTTGCTGGATTCAAATGGCATTGGAATAAATACATTATTCATGGGGTTACTACTCGATGCATCAGAAATTTGAAAGTTTATTGACCTTCTGTTGGAGAGTCTTGGTTTATCGCTTTTTTACGTGGCTTCGACAATAAAGTTTTTAAAAAACAGTCGGATTTTTCAATCTGAAAATTTTTATTGCAGCTTGTGAATGTCGGCTCTGGTGTTAGTGTACTTGCCGTACAAAGTCCCAACGATTACAGAAGAATAAGCGGTACTAGGTAAATATGGAGAAAAAGTATTCGAGCTGTTAATTATTTATTTAAAAAAAATATTGATTATTTTTGTGCCATTAAAAAAAATTGGTATCGAGTGAAATAATCAAGTACAGTAAAAATCGTTAATTTTTATTTTTATGGTAGTATTTATCAAGTAACACAATAATAAAGTTTCGTAATGTATATTACAGTTTGGGTGGAGGTACGTTTTTGGGATTATGTTGTTTGTTGACTGGTTGCAATACATTTGAAGAAGCGATAGAGTTGGCTACCAGCGGCGATAGCACCAAGGTTGACAAACTAGTCAAGGACATTTACGGAGGGGACTACTGTCGCTTCGGCTTGCAAGGAGATACAGTTGCAAGCAGGTAATTACTAATACAACAATAGTAGCTTCGCACACGTGTATACTCTGAATCACTAGTAAATTAGTTCTGTGAACAATTTACAAGTCATTAAAAATTTGATTTTTTTCAAGTGTATACGTACCTATTCTTGTACATAGCTTAATGTGTTGATAACTAATTACTAATTTGAGTTTCTTATCTAAAAAATTTTTTTTTATTGCGTGTTATCTCTTTATTGATGTAAAATTGCAATTTCGCGGTGCTTGATTATCGTAACACAAAAAAAAAAAAAAATCAATTATTAAACAAAAAATTATTGCCTTCCTTTTTTTTTAGAAAAATGCATGTTTTTCTACGTAAATAAGTACCTAGAAAACAATTAACATATTTAGTAAAAATATAATGCTAACGTTTTTAGTTTTAGTTTGTATTTCACTTTGAATTACCTGCACCACACTGTATGCAACTGCTAAAGATCTTTGCAAATTTTCACTCACTCACCGTCTTTTAATCATGAAACCACTAATTACTTCTTGTAGATGGGCTTTGTAGTTTCTTTTAAATCTAATTGTTGCGTATGTATTTAAGTTTTTTCGATGTCCGTAGTTTTGGACAGATGAATTCGAAAGACAGACGAAATACAGTGTCGAAGGAGGACCTCGCTCGCGCGACTCTTGTTACCATCACCAATAATATTGGTTCTATTGCAAGGATGTGTGCCCTCAATGAAAAAATCGAAAGGGTAAGGCGTAAATCACAATATGAAATTACATTTGTTGTACAATTGAATGCACTTTATCAGAATTGTGATTAATCATTTGATATAAAATTATAGGTAGTGTTTGTCGGAAATTTTTTACGAGTAAATCCTATTTCCATGAAGTTACTATCCTATGCAATGGATTTTTGGTCTAAAGGAACACTTAAAGCTCTCTTTTTGGAGCACGAGGTATAAAATTAAGACAACAGAACTAAATTTTTTTGGAAAATTTCATGTTCACTTACATTCGTATTTTTTAACTTTTAGGGATATTTTGGTGCTGTAGGATGTTTATTACAATTCACTGGTGATACCAGCTAAGCTCGTTTGTTACACCGCGTAATGCTCAAATGAAAATATAGGGACTTTTTTAAGCATCAAGTAAACAATTTACAAGGAATAGTTGATTTAATTGTTTCTTGTATACGCGTTTAATTGTCAGCGTATTTAATAATAATTGTACACTTGTACATAAATATACATCATTCCAGTTGTAAAAGGCCACGGGTGAACTATAAATTTACTTTTAGTTATTTATTTAAATTGCACGTTTATTGTTTTTAAGAGCAAGCAAAATAATATAGATGAAAAGTCTATTACGATTATCTCGATTGTTAGATATATTTATTGCCAAATGAAAGTGATTTCCTTAATACGGAAGTAGCACAATTTTTCAAAGTCGTTTTGTACTTTTTGATCGTTGTACATATTTCTTACAAGTACATGTATTGATTAGCGCTTGGGCAGTCAACCTTGTAGTTAACTTTGTTTTTGGTTTGCTGAAGTATTCACTTTTAAAGAATCTATACGAATGTTTTTTCATACGATAGTTGAACGCGGTACATATTATTCCTGTATACGTTAACTTGGAATTGTAAAAATAATTTTCTATTTGTTAATAGGATCTTCTCACTTGTTAATGTTATTTGCAAGTCGTTTACCAATCATATGTCTGCAATGTTGTATTGGATTTGATAGAGAATGTTTGTCATAATATATATATATATACACATGCAAGCAGACGTTGTTTTATCTATGTTCAAAAGATATCGCTCAAAATTTTTGTTATTAAAAAAAAAGTTTACTATACATTGTTTTGGACCTCTTATATGATACGACTTAAAAAGAGGATCAAACGTATGCATTTGTATGAAAATAAAAATAAATTCGTATTATTGTGTAAATATAATGGACATTATTCGAAAATTTACATTGTTTCGGTGAAATATCACCCTTCTAGTTTAACATACTTAGTAGTTTTTTAAAATTCAAATTTACGTTAAGATAAAAAAATTACAGCAATTCACACTTAACTTTTATAAGATTTGAAATAATTATTATAAATTAAAAAGTATTTTTATGATAAATGAACCGTACGAAATAATTTAATAACTTTAGATAAAGTATTTACACGCACTTGAAAACTTGTTGCTGATCGCACATATTTTTATAAAACTTTTTTCTCCAAACTCAATTCATATAGTTTAACGTTGCTACCATTGTTTTTTTAATTACCGATTTATCATTATACGAGTAAAGTAACAACAAAAAATTTATTATATCCGTTCCTAGGTACTAAAAAAATGTACATTATATTCATATGTTTTGACATCAATATATCAAAATGACATAATAACAAAAAACTTCCAGTAATAAAAACTTCTTTCACCTTATCATCTGGGCAGCCTTTTCGGCAATGGCTATTATCACGGAGTTGGGTGGCCCGGAAATCGGACTCGGCAGTATGCTGGCATCGACTATCCGTAAATTGTTGATGCCATGAACTCTAGAAAAAATAAAAAAGAGAAAAACAAGCATCCTTATGAATACATTTTTAAAATAATCATTGGTGCGCATGGTGTCTCCGAAAAACTTGTGTACTTAGACAAAAACGATGAAGTCGTAGACGATTCTACACGCAAGATTGACCTGTCATACGAGTTTTATATGAATATTATTTGGGTTTGTATTTGTAAAATAAAGCTACTTTTTTACGAAAAACCTCAACATGCTGTACAAAGTATTACCTTTTACAAACTGTACCATTTAACCGATTAAAATAGTCACGAACTCACCGAAGCTTCTCATCAACGACGGAGGTGTTCCTGTTGGCGCCCATTTGACAGGTGCCGCCGGGATGGTGACTAGTTATCGCACCGATGCGCACCAGGCAGGCCGAAAAATCCTCACTGCCGATGTCCTGCCTGTAATGTCTGCACTCCTCGAACCACGGGACGTGCAGCTCAGCCCCGTAATCGACGAACGGGGGTGAATTCGCTATCTCTTTGACTTGTTGCATTGCTGGATTAAGCAGAGTGGCGTTACTACACACAAGTTAGGGAATAAAATGAAAAGTGTACCTTTAACGTGACACTTGACGTCCTCGATTTTTTTCAAGTAATTTGGATCGAGGAGCGGATGATCCCGAACACTGCCCGAATGCAGGCGCACGCGACCCCGGCTCTTCGGCTGCAGGCAGGTGGCTAGCATCAGATAGCCCTCGGCTGTGCTGTCGTTGTACGTCGGGAACAGCCTCTCAAAGATCTGAAATTTTATCGCTCGCATAAATTAATCATTGGCTGGATATACTTCTACGCCAAGTACAGTGGCAATTACTTGAGGTCGATAGTTCGACAGCTGTATCAGCGCGTCTTTGTCGATGGTCCCAATGGCAGTGAGAATCACGGCGTGATCGTCCTTCCACGTCATGCCGGCTATCCCGTTGCTCGCCAATAATCCTGAAATGTAGATTTTGATTAAAAAAATTTTTAAAAACAACTTGAAGTGTCCTTTCGAAACTCACCTGTTCCTCCAAAAAAATAGTCGGTCAACGTTCGGAGGGTCAGCAAATTCTCGTGCGTTATGCTGACGGCTTCGCTCGACGGATTTTTCAGTTTAACGTACATTGGCATGTTAAGGTGATCGAACAGGTTGCGCCCCACGGCCGGCAAATCGGCTCTGACGGTTATCTGAAAAAAAAAAAAATTGAGTGACAATATCTCATCGATGTAAGTTTGTCTCTGCTCCGGTGCTAACATTGTGTTTTTTCAACTCTCTCTGCGGCCCGACGCCGGAGAGCATCAGCAGGTGCGGCGAGCCCAACGCACCAGCACATAGGATAACTTCTTTGCGCGCCAGAACGCCGCCGAGCTGTCCGAGATTGTCGATCAGCTCAATCCCGCGGGCCGTGTTGCCCTCGTCGATCGATACCTAGACGCCAAATCGGTGTGATCGGTAAAACTCTCAATGCAAAGTAATAAAAAAAAAGGGGGGGGGGGAAAAACAGCGCATCACCTTACTGACGAGGGTGTCGATCAGGATGTGTAGATTCGGCTGGTGCCAAACTTTCTGCAGATGGGTGCGATAGCTGCTCGTGCGGACGCCCTGGGACGTACTCACCGAGACCGGAACAAAGGGATTGGCAGATTTATGGTACAGGTCCGCCGCTCGGGCCAAGATCCTGCTGGTGGGCCGCCGGTTGATCGACATGAGCTGCTCGACTTGGTCGAAGTAGGGCTCGAGTTCCGTGCTGGTCCAGCCCTTGGGCCAGTCGTTGTAGTCGCTGGGCCGGCCAAACGAGTGGATCATATAATTTATGTGCCCTGAGCCGCCAAGACCCTTTCCTCGCGGCAGGAACTGTATCTGAGGTAATTGCACAATCGTCGTAGATGGTGAGCTTTTTTTCTATATTATATGTCGTAGCTTTCGATGACAAAAAATCTTGGGAGTCTCTCTGTTTAAGCTTTATGTGGGTGTGTAAGTACATGTGTCCGTACACTTTTTGTATAAGTACTGATGAAAAATCGATTTATCGTATAAGTAGATACTCATGTGTCAATAATAATAAATTTTTCCTACCTCCGGTTTTTCTTAAAGTTTGGACGTTAACTAAACCTTTGATAGGAAAAATATGACCTTCACCGTTAATGCGCATTTGGCCAGGGTGGTCAGCACAGTGATCGCCTTGGAGAAATGCAGTGCACCAGTAATGAAAATTACTATATTACTATCGATACGCAGACGGTGATTCTTACATTAGTAAATGGTTAATAAAATTTAGAAATGATTACCATCCACGATCTACGACTTCACTATTCAAGATTGAAGACTGCAGAGTATTGAAATATAAAATGGTTTCGCTCAATTAATTTAATTCCTTGCGGGTTCGATCAAAGTACGAGTTGAGCCTATTAATTGTGGATAAGAAAAAAAAAAACAAAAAAAATGATCCCGTACGTAAATACAAAACATATCTTACACGGTCAAACAGTCCTATCGAGGAAAATTTCTGAGACACTGTTTTGAACTGCCAATCAGCGTTGGTCTGCTGAACTACAGGTGCGAGAAGAGGAATCCGGCTGACGATTTGGATGGTACTGCCTGCTTCCACGAGCAACACCTTCGCATTCGAATTTTCGGCCAATCGGGACGCTACAACACAACCTGCTGTGCCCGCACCAACTGTGGTTTATTGGTTGGAAAAAAAAAAAAAAATGGATTTACTGACGATTTTCTGATAAACTATGTGATAGCCAATGGTATCAAAAATTAAAAAAAAAAAAACGTAAAATAACATAGAATCTGTAAAGAAACATATCCACAGTTTAAAACGTCAAGATAACGATTTTGACACTTGCTTGTATAGTTTTGGAGGTGGACCAAAACGTTTTTTTTTTTTTTTTTTTGAACTAACAAAACGCAATTGCAAATAAAATTTTTTATTTTTGTTGACTTCCTTTTCATCGCAGCTCTACCGAAAAAACTTACTTACCAATGATGTAGTCGTACTCCCGGTCAGGAGATTCCACAATACTGCTTGGTCCAACGCCATAAAGTACAACCGCAAGAATCAAGATCATAGTTGAACAAAAAATGATGACCTTCCACATTTTCGTCCTCCACAAATTAGAAAAAAAACAAAAAAAAAAAAAAAAGTACGAAATCCAAAAAATAGCGACTGAAAATATGACTTAGTTGGTACTTGACTGCGAGAAAAAAAGCGTCGTTGTCGTGGAGAAGCTCGCAACAAGAGTAATGTGGCACTAGATCGGAGCAGCACGTGAGAGATTCACAAATAACGTGAATCGGCACTCTTATGTACAAGCGCCAACGTTGATCTGCCAATATTAAATTAGTATCCCTGGACGCGACCGTAAATCAATAGACAGTGAGAGTGGCAAGGTAGTACATTTGTGCTGTGGGTTGTTTGAAGCCTGACCTAAACCCTTGATTTCAAATCGAACGGAAGCAGGTTAATACTTACGAGATTTAGCGTTTGCACTATTCGGAGCTGTGCTTGTACGTGTGTGTATTAGTTAAACCAAAGTTAATCTCTCCATGTGGGATAGGAAAAAAAAACGTACGAGAAATGTAGATCAAGTATTTTATTTTTCAAACGGTACAAGTTATTTACTGCCTTTAACAGAAACATGTTTTCCTCAAGTAGTCTGGACTGCTAAAGTTTTTCACGTAAGCAAGTGACAAAATTTATGAAAAAGATCGCCACGCTCACGGTTGCTTACATTTATCGTCAGGATCGGTATTCTATAAAATTTTTTGGGAAAGCAGTTTGAGACAGTTTCTCGAAACTCAGGACACGAATTCCAAAGCACTGGAGAAGTATTTTTATATCCATGATACCAATGACAGTGCCAGACTGCTTGTTATACCCAAGATATCTTACAACTAAGTTACCTTTAAATCCAAACCTGCAGCCATTCAATTTTGGGTCTTAAGGTATCTAGAGGCTTGTATAGCCCTAATTTTAATTGTCCAGCTGAATTCGAATACAGAAAAAAAAGTTGTAATTTATCAGAATGATGTTCCTTATAGAACTTGAACGATGGTTTATAATTAAAAAATAAGAAAAAAATGTTTAAAACGTCATTGACGAATACATGTGCACCAGTATTAATGCTTCAAAGAATTTTTTTTTTCTTTGTGACTTAGAGCTGTTTTATATGTTATAAAAATTTATTTATGTAAATAACAATTAAAGATAAATGTAAACAGTTTTTGGTTGACTATCAATCACGTATCTTCCCATTTAAAGTAAGTTTTTTAGTTTTACTAAAAACACCTCTGTTATGCACACTGACATGTAAGTATAATAAGTATTCTATAAAGCTCTTGACTTAAAAAAAATTTCTACTTCAGACGATAATTATATTAAAACTACAGCTTTCACTGTCCAGGAATTGTACACATCTTTGTTCAAATGCTCATATTAACGATACTTTGGTCAAATAAATTTTTTTCATGTTTTTCAATTATCAAGCTTCTTAAATTATTTAAAGTTTTTTTGATTCAGTTTTTTTTGGTTATTCAAAAATTTTTGTAAATAAGTTATTTCTTTTTTATTTTCTTCTTGATGAGTTGTTTAGAACGAGTGGCATTCATGTGTCTCATCACAAAAATTATACCAGGAATACAAAACATGAGTAAATATAATCTTAAAAAGGTTGGATAGTAAAATCCAATATTCCAGAAGTTAGGCATATGAATGCTAAATCTTTCAGTTTCCTCAAAATAAGGAATATTTCTTAAAACTATTATCCCTTCAAATACAAAACCTAGGGGATATAGGGGTATCCAAATGGTGTACCTTAACCATTTTAAAACGGGCATGTTAATATTAAGAAGTTTTGTCAAGTAATAAGGATATCTAACCACTTCTACCATAGTCCATACTAAGAAAAGATAAAACACAACTGGCTTCACCTGCATTCTTGGCTCAGCTTCAATATTACCAAATAATATGAATGCACGACCACCAACTTGTAATAAACTAGCTAATACACTTCCCTTGGTGTAACCGAACAGTGGGTGCATAACTTCTAAAAACATTAAAAGTTGAATGAACTTCATGGGGTTGCCAACATTTTCATAAGTATCCTTCATTGAATCTGCAAACAAAGCATTAGGATCATGAGTAACAATGGTATCTAGCAATTATATATCGTTCCATACAAACCTGGTCCATCACGATAATATTTAACAGCCATAACGGAAAAAATGCACATAAAGCCAATACACTGGAATAAATTGTAAAGAATAAGATAGACCTTTTTCACATCTTCTGTAAAGAAAGCAAAATTTTCATCCAATTAGTAAAGCTGAAAGCACGACTGAAGTTAAAAATCGACCAAAGACAACCTTTTCTGTAACCAAACTCCTCTTTGTGCAAATAATCATACATATCCGGATAGTCTTGACAAATATCTCGCATGGCCTCCTCGACTTCTTCCGTGTCTTCGCTCTTCCATTTATCAAAATCTATCTTGAGCCATGGCGGCTTTTGTGGCTGGCCGGTCAGCCTCGGCCACCAGGCATTGGACTTTTTAATCAAGACAAAATCCACTTGTCTGTCAATGACTTTGTAATCGCTTTCCTAAAATTTTATGTACATTTAATTTAAAAGTTCGGGCTCCAAAAAAAATACTTTGTATACGAGACCATACTTACGTCAGGATCGACCTCAGAATGGAAGTCCAGGTTGAACCCATACTTGTTTTGTCCTCTGGCTCCCTGCCCATCAGCAGAGAACTTGAGCTTCTTTTCTTCAAGATAAACGCCGACATCCTAAATGAAAAAATTGACTTACTTCTCTCACTCTGTTTAGTTACAACACTCGTTTACCTTAACGTTAGTCAGGTCGACTTTGAGATTAATCTTTTTATCGGTCTGTGCCCAGTACACAAAAGGTGTGAGCACGTCCACCGTCATGTTTTCACTTAATTTCACAACCAATATGCGAAAGACCAAGTACTTAGGTAAATTATAATATGCTTATTGCTTGACGTTACAATGATTTAAGTGTGGACATTTTATCGCTGATCGATTTTATTTTCCTTATTACCGGGGGGACGGCGCGTTGTCATCGTCATCATCACACACAAATACACAACTTTTGAGATTTCTGCTACCAGCTTATTTATATTTACCTTATACCTATTATACCACCCAAACAATCATGGTGGAGATGGCAGCACTAGTCGGTACTGTCGGTAGCAAAAGTGGCAGTCAAGGACACGACACGCGCAAGCATGAGAGAGCAGACGAGAATCGTCAAGTATCGGGGTGTGCGCGAGGTGCGAGGAATAAAAACAACTGTTAAGGAGGTTCGGTAGTGATAATTTTTTATGATGAAAATTTTTGAAATTTCGATATGTCGTTTGGGATAATAGTATCAAATTACAGCTAAATTTTTGAAGGGTTGAACCACACCGTTTTCAAGATATATTGACCTGAAAAAACAATATTTTAACATGTAGGCTTATGGAGAAATCACTTAAATTTCACATAAAAAAAAACGGCTAAATGAACTTGCTTTTTTTTTTTTTTTTAAATGAAAGAATATTGTCAAAATAATATTTTGTCAAAGTTTGAGAGAGCCCTACCACAAATTTCTATTAAAAAACAGCAAAAATGTGCTCGCAGCAGACGACTTGGCAACGCTGCTTTTGGAGCGCGCTTTGAAATGTAATGAATTGTAAAAACTCCTTTTGTAATTGAAAATTTAATTATAAAAAATTCAACTGAAGAAACAAGTACACTGTCATCAGTAGACGACAACAGCAGTTGACGACAACAACAGTAGAAGACGTGCCAGCAGCCGAAAAAATTCAAAACGTTGCCAGACGCTCTCCCTCCCCTTGCCTCTCTGAGATTTCCCCCCGCTAACACTACCGAACCTCCTTAAAT